CCTGTAGGGGTTCGACGTAATATTTGTCAATCAGAACCCAAAGAGTCACCCTTTTTAATTCTTTTTTCTTTTTTCTTTTAAACAACAAATAATACGTCGAATTCTGTAAGGGCTTCGACATATTATTTGTTAGCCATAAGCCAAAAAGTAACCCTTTTTTAATTCGTTTTTTTTCTTTTAAACCATATATAATACGTCGAATTTTGTAGGAGTTTCGACGTATTATTTGTCAGCCAAAAGTTTCCCCTTTTTAATTTGAGCAGGAGATTGAAAATTCATTCAATTTATCTTAGCGCGCGAGACCTTCTTCTCTTTTCAAACTTTCTCGAACGAAGTTTGACGACCATCACATGTAATCTTTCTTTCATTTGATACAAATGCATGTTAATTAACTACTTTATGTATAATTTTCGTTTGTTTTGACCGATTATTTTCATGTTCTTGTCCTTCATAGGTGCATTTTGCTTTCTCTCTCACTTGTGGAAACACTTTTTTTCGACGAACCACCTTTTGAAGGTTAGTTTTCGTTTTCGTTTTCGTTTTGAAGAATTTATTTGTTGAACTTGTTTGTTGTTGTTTTTTGTTGAACTTGTTTGTTGTTGTTATTTGGTTGAACTTGTTTATTGTTGCTGTTGTTGTTTGATTGAACTTTTTTTTGTTGATACTATACTACACGTTCATAGTTTATGCTTTATAAAATATCAAAAACTAAAATTTGTTGTTTTTCTGCTTTTCATGTATCGTAGAGTTGTAATAAAGGAAAACAATGAATTAAAAAAAATAAAAAAATTGCTTAACATCGAATATTAACAAAATTTGATGTCAATTTGATTAATGTCAATTTTTTAAAATTCGATGTCAATTTAACGTCTCCCGATATGACGTCGACCTCAAATTCGACGTGAAAGGCCAAAAAACAACGACGTTATACGATATTTTTGTACTAATGTTTCCAAGATAAGTGTTACCCCTAATGGTGATATTTCTTTACAAATGGCAAAGTGAACAGGACATTGATTGAAAAAGTTAGGTGAATGCTTTTTGAAGCAAAATTGCCTAAGCATTTACGGGGTGAGGCATTGTTTATAGCAGCGCATGTTACTAATCTAAGTCTTGCAGTTGCTTTAAACTCTGAGGAGCTAGACAATATTTGGTTTGGCAAGAAGGTTACTTATGATCATTTGTGTGTTTTCGGCAGTAAAGCATTTGTTCATGTTCCAAATGATGAAAGATCCAAGTTGGATGTGAAGACAAGGCAATGCATTTTCACTGGTTTTGGCCAGGATGAGTTTAGCTACAAGTTGTATGACCCCGTTGAAAAGAAAGTTGTTAGAAGCCGTGATGTGCAATTCATGGAAGATCAAACAATTGAAGATGTTGATAAGGTGGAGAAGTCTACACCTAAGGAAGATGGTAATGTGGCTGATTTTGATCCAATTCGGTTATCTATTAATGATTTGGATATTGATGTTCATGATGATGAACAACATGGTGATGAACAACATGGTGATACCGATAATCAGTAGATTGGAGATGGCTTGGATGTTCCTATTGATAATGTTGATGAAGAGGAACATGATGTGTCACTAGATGGGAGTCTTGATGATGTACTTGAGTTACCTTAAGCTCAAACCAGAAGATATGACAAGCCAAAACAACCTTCTAAGAAATACTCTATACCAATGAGTATGTGATGTTGACTGATGAGAGAGAACCTGAATGTTATGAGGAGGCCATTGAAAGTGAAGAAAAGCAAAAGTGGTTGGATGCAATGTAGGATGAGATGAAATCTTTGCACGATAATCACACTTATGACTTGGTGAAGTTGTCTAAGGGTAAGAGAGCCATAGAGAATAGGTGGATTTTCAGGGTGAAGTAAGAGAACAATTCTACATCTACCAGATATAAAGCCAGATTAATGGTGAAAGGCTTTAGACAAAGAAAGGGTGTTGACTTCAATGAGATTTTCTCACTTGTGGTGAGGATGACATCCATCAGAATTATGTTAAGTTTAGCTGCTACTTAAGATTTAGAAGTTGAGCAGATGGATGTGAAGATAGCTTTCCTTCATGGTGATTTAGGGAAAGAGATTTACATGAAGCAACCGAGTGGTTTTCTTGTTGAAGGCAAGGAAGACTATGTGTGTAGGCTACGAAAAAGCTTATATGGTTTGAAGCAGGCTTTGAGGCAATGGTATAAGAAGTTTGAGTCTGTTATGTGTGAGCAAGGCTACAAGAAGACTACTTCTGACCATTGCGTTTTTATCAGAAAATTTTCTGAGAATGATTTCATTATATTGTTGTTATATGTTGATGACATGCTTATAATTGGGAAAAATGTATCCAAAATTGACAGGTTGAAGAAACAACTGGGTGAGTCATTTATCATGAAAGACATAGGAGCTGTCAAGAAGATTCTTGGTATAAGTATCACTCGTGATAGAAAAGAAAAAAAACTTTGCCTATCACAGGAGCACTACATTTAGAAGGTGTTTGATGAGTGCATATTTATGCTCGCATTTATGCTTTAAAGTTTAAATTTTGATGGGATATTAGGTGTGGACTACTCGTGGATTTTACCCTTGTATTTAGGGGTTTTCCACGTTAAAAATTGTTGGTGTCTCTTTGTACTTTGAATTCTATTTTTGTTCTATTTATTTGGTGTTCCTCACATATTCTCGCAAAAAAGAGAATTGAATTTCTGTTGCGTTATTACTCTTTTCTAAGTTATTATATATTTTGCCCTCGTCAAAAAGAACTATTAGCGTAATTCATATTCAGATACACCACGCTTCTAATCTTTTCTAATAAGTTTTAAATATTACTAAAAATTTATTTTTCATGCCAACTTGCAAGTACACTAATTCAAGCTAATTATGACCACTTAACAATCAAAATTAATGATGATGTTACGTGCCTGATCACGTAATCTCTCCACTTACGATTGACACGAGAAATAACTGAATAAATTCCTTTATTATTGCAAAGTATAGGAAACACAAAACACAACCAATGACTGGGAGCAGGTTCTCCTTCAGTCACACGAGAGCATAACCTCTCTTACAAGAATCCTCAATAATCAAAACATATCCTGAGCCCTAGGTGCCCCCCTAATTAATACTAATTACTCCTCCCAGAAAAGGTAAGGAATAATCGCAATTGCCTATTTATTATAATTAACCATAATTGCCTATTTATTATAATTATCTGGAAAGAATCATTCTGTCCTTATTTACTCTATTTATTACTGTATTTATTACAGTAATACTCTGCTGAGCGTCCCCTGAATTCCCGCCTATCCTCCCACTTGCCAGCTGGACGTAGCTGGACGTTCGTCCATGCTCCGTTCGTTCCTGACGCTCGTCCTTTCTCTTCGATACTCGTCCTCGCTCTGCTCGTCCCGGGCGCTCGTCCTTACTCCCTGTTGCCCCGCTCGTTCGGCCTCCCCTCGCTGAGTGCGTTCGTCCTCGCCCCTTGTTACCTCCTGCTCCGAACGCTCTTCCGCTCCCGTCCGGTTCCCTTCTTGCGATGGACGCTCGTCCTCTTGTGTTGGACGCTCGTCCTCTTGTGATGGGCGCTCGTCCTCTTGTGAAGGACGCTCGTCCTCTCCTCTATCCCTTCTATATCTTCTTCTCTCGTACACTCGCCAGGCCGTAACAGATGACAATGAGTTAAGATGGTTCAAAGTTTGATTATACTTGTTCCCGTCCTTGAAGTAAAATTTCATACTCAACCCTATCATATATGAATTTATATCTTGTCATTGTCTCCTTCCAGTAGCGAGTATCCTCATCTTAGTACGTGCTTCCATATATTATCTCAAATATTAATTAAACACTTTTCTTAAAAAAAATAAGAGTGATAAAAAAAACTTATCATGGATTCAACGTCAAATTTCACATAATTTAAGTTTCATGACAAGTACAACATCTATTATTTTTGCAGATGTTCAAAGGAAAAATACATCTAATATTTGAATGAACTTGGTAGATATGGAATGAATCAAAATGTTCAAATAAAAAAATATGGAGTAAAATAAAAGTTTTTCAAATGAACTGTTACTAATAGCCAAAGATAAAAGAAAAAATAAATTTTCTATATTAACTAATAAACTAAAAATTTATATGATTGAATACTCAAAATTCATAATAAGACATTTTCACATTATTTGAACAAAACAAAAGAAAAAAAGAATGAAACTGAATAAATGATAGAAAAAAATAATAAAAATAAGTCCTTTTGAGTAACCTAATCCGTTAAAGATGTTTTAGTAATTAAAAACAGATATTAATGTATGGATGGAATTGATAAAAAGATACTCGTCTTTGTTTCAATATTTGATTTGAAAAAGAAAATATTATTAATATTCATACTCATATCATATTAATACGTAAATTCTTTATTAAAACCAAGACAAATTTAGTCAGTATTCCCAAAGATAAAATTATTTGTCATCTATATTCAAAATAAGCTAATCGAAGATTACATAAAAGAAATGAATGACGTAGCACAGTTCCACTATTCTAAATTGATGGAAATAGAAAAACCAAAACAAAATACGGCAAAGGAACCATTCGGAGAAAAAAAATATATTTGACTTGGTCTTCTCCTACACCATACAATAGTACATACGAAGAGTTCGTGATGCTTTTGATTTTCACGATCTCATTCTATGCTTGTTAAGATTCAAAATGGCATGGATTCAAGGTATCAATGATAAGCTTATTTTACAATCGATCTTCAAGCTAGATATAAAATCAGCGTTACATTTATAATTTCAAATAATAGAAATTTAAGATAGGATTGAAGACCCATTTACAAGTAAAAGCATTTTCAAAGCTTACTCATGAAACTAAAAGTAAAAGAAGATTCAACAAAACTAGAGTTTAACCCATGAAATGTCTAAACCTACAGTTCGACTTGTCTTGTGTTTTCAACTTGCCTTTTATTCTCATTCGACATCACTTGAACAATTTCTGGCCCCAAGTAATATCGTAATAGTAAAATTGAAACATGAAATAAATTATAACGGAACTGAGCTTCAAAATCATGCAATGTAACAATCAATGCATTACAAGAAAATAGATGACAAATTCTATGGTGACTCACATCCAATAACGTTAATCGAATTTAGTTCAACACACTAAAGGGTTGGAAGAAACCAAAAGAGAAATAAATAAGCCATGATGCCCTTCTTCCCCTTAGTTTCCCCTCTGCTTGTTTGTGACAGCATTACAACTACAGAAAAGCATCTTTCTCAAGTAGCTTCAGGACATCATTTTGATTATTTAACTTCGCAACATCTATAGGAGTTTTCCCGTCCATATTCTGCAGAGTACTGCAAATTCAACAAGAAAGGAGAACAATTAATCATTGAAACAAGGTATTTTGTAAGCATTAACGTTTTTTCAATAAGCAAAATGGAAAAGACTACTACTTACACTGCAGCACCGTTTTCAAGCAGAAGGGCCACACATTCCTTCCTGCCATAACCGGCTGCGTAATGGAGAGCAGTGTTCTTATTCTTGTCCAAAGCATCCACTTTTGCTCCAGCCTCAAGGAGAACTTGAGCACACTTCACCTGAAAGGATATCAAGAACGTGTCAACCATAAAGGAATCAAATCTCAGATTTTTCTATGGCCTAAATAACACCCTGAGTCTCAATACATCCTTTATATCCCTCCCATCATGGGTCTAATGAGACCACCCAATATCATAAGCAGAAATTATGAGAAACAAAAAGGCATGATATAAAAGATGAGAAAATATTTACTACAAATACTAGCATACCTCGCCATATCCACAGGCAAAATGCAAGGCAGTTCTTCCCTCAGAATCTTCTTCATCCTTGTCAGCACCAGAAGCTAGTGCAGTTTTCAAGCCCTAAAGATATGTTTAAAATTTTAGCTCTCAAATATTTCNATACCAATGAGTATGTGATGTTGACTGATGAGAGAGAACCTGAATGTTATGAGGAGGCCATTGAAAGTGAAGAAAAGCAAAAGTGATTGGATGCAATGTAGGATGAGATGAAATCTTTGCACGATAATCACACTTATGACTTGGTGAAGTTGTCTAAGGGTAAGAGAGCCATAGAGAATAGGTGGATTTTCAGGGTGAAGTAAGAGAACAATTCTACATCTACCAGATATAAAGCCAGATTAATGGTGAAAGGCTTAAGACAAAGAAAGGGTGTTGACTTCAATGAGATTTTCTCACTTGTGGTGAGGATGACATCCATCAGAATTATGTTAAGTTTAGCTGCTACTTAAGATTTAGAAGTTGAGCAAATGGATGTGAAGAAAGCTTTCCTTCATGGTGATTTAGGGAAAGAGATTTACATGAAGCAACCGAGTGGTTTTCTTGTTGAAGGCAAGGAAGACTATGTGTGTAGGCTACGAAAAAGCATATATGGTTTGAAGCAGGCTAAGAAGAAATGGTATAAGAAGTTAAAGTCTGTTATGTGTGAGCAAGGCTACAAGAAGACTACTTCTGACCATTGCGTTTTTATCAGAAAATTTTCTGAGAATGATTTCATTATATTGTTGTTATATGTTGATGACATGCTTATAATTGGGAAAAATGTATCCAAAATTGACAGGTTGAAGAAACAACTGGGTGAGTCATTTATCATGAAAGACATAGGAGCTGTCAAGAAGATTCTTGGTATAAGTATCACTCGTGATAGAAAAGAAAAAAAACTTTGCCTATCACAGGAGCACTACATTTAGAAGGTGTTTGATGAGTGCATATTTATGCTCGCATTTATGCTTTAAAGTTTAAATTTTGATGGGATATTAGGTGTGGACTACTCGTGGATTTTACCCTTGTATTTAGGGGTTTTCCACGTTAAAAATTGTTGGTGTCTCTTTGTACTTTGAATTCTATTTTTGTTCTATTTATTTGGTGTTCCTCACATATTCTCGCAAAAAAGAGAATTGAATTTCTGTTGCGTTATTACTCTTTTCTAAGTTATTATATATTTTGCCCTCGTCAAAAAGAACTATTAGCGTAATTCATATTCAGATACACCACGCTTCTAATCTTTTCTAATAAGTTTTAAATATTACTAAAAATTTATTTTTCATGCCAACTTGCAAGTACACTAATTCAAGCTAATTATGACCACTTAACAATCAAAATTAATGATGATGTTACGTGCCTGATCACGTAATCTCTCCACTTACGATTGACACGAGAAATAACTGAATAAATTCCTTTATTATTGCAAAGTATAGGAAACACAAAACACAACCAATGACTGGGAGCAGGTTCTCCTTCAGTCACACGAGAGCATAACCTCTCTTACAAGAATCCTCAATAATCAAAACATATCCTGAGCCCTAGGTGCCCCCCTAATTAATACTAATTACTCCTCCCAGAAAAGGTAAGGAATAATCGCAATTGCCTATTTATTATAATTAACCATAATTGCCTATTTATTATAATTATCTGGAAAGAATCATTCTGTCCTTATTTACTCTATTTATTACTGTATTTATTACAGTAATACTCTGCTGAGCGTCCCCTGAATTCCCGCCTATCCTCCCACTTGCCAGCTGGACGTAGCTGGACGTTCGTCCATGCTCCGTTCGTTCCTGACGCTCGTCCTTTCTCTTCGATACTCGTCCTCGCTCTGCTCGTCCCGGGCGCTCGTCCTTACTCCCTGTTGCCCCGCTCGTTCGGCCTCCCCTCGCTGAGTGCGTTCGTCCTCGCCCCTTGTTACCTCCTGCTCCGAACGCTCTTCCGCTCCCGTCCGGTTCCCTTCTTGCGATGGACGCTCGTCCTCTTGTGTTGGACGCTCGTCCTCTTGTGATGGGCGCTCGTCCTCTTGTGAAGGACGCTCGTCCTCTCCTCTATCCCTTCTATATCTTCTTCTCTCGTACACTCGCCAGGCCGTAACAGATGACAATGAGTTAAGATGGTTCAAAGTTTGATTATACTTGTTCCCGTCCTTGAAGTAAAATTTCATACTCAACCCTATCATATATGAATTTATATCTTGTCATTGTCTCCTTCCAGTAGCGAGTATCCTCATCTTAGTACGTGCTTCCATATATTATCTCAAATATTAATTAAACACTTTTCTTAAAAAAAATAAGAGTGATAAAAAAAACTTATCATGGATTCAACGTCAAATTTCACATAATTTAAGTTTCATGACAAGTACAACATCTATTATTTTTGCAGATGTTCAAAGGAAAAATACATCTAATATTTGAATGAACTTGGTAGATATGGAATGAATCAAAATGTTCAAATAAAAAAATATGGAGTAAAATAAAAGTTTTTCAAATGAACTGTTACTAATAGCCAAAGATAAAAGAAAAAATAAATTTTCTATATTAACTAATAAACTAAAAATTTATATGATTGAATACTCAAAATTCATAATAAGACATTTTCACATTATTTGAACAAAACAAAAGAAAAAAAGAATGAAACTGAATAAATGATAGAAAAAAATAATAAAAATAAGTCCTTTTGAGTAACCTAATCCGTTAAAGATGTTTTAGTAATTAAAAACAGATATTAATGTATGGATGGAATTGATAAAAAGATACTCGTCTTTGTTTCAATATTTGATTTGAAAAAGAAAATATTATTAATATTCATACTCATATCATATTAATACGTAAATTCTTTATTAAAACCAAGACAAATTTAGTCAGTATTCCCAAAGATAAAATTATTTGTCATCTATATTCAAAATAAGCTAATCGAAGATTACATAAAAGAAATGAATGACGTAGCACAGTTCCACTATTCTAAATTGATGGAAATAGAAAAACCAAAACAAAATACGGCAAAGGAACCATTCGGAGAAAAAAAATATATTTGACTTGGTCTTCTCCTACACCATACAATAGTACATACGAAGAGTTCGTGATGCTTTTGATTTTCACGATCTCATTCTATGCTTGTTAAGATTCAAAATGGCATGGATTCAAGGTATCAATGATAAGCTTATTTTACAATCGATCTTCAAGCTAGATATAAAATCAGCGTTACATTTATAATTTCAAATAATAGAAATTTAAGATAGGATTGAAGACCCATTTACAAGTAAAAGCATTTTCAAAGCTTACTCATGAAACTAAAAGTAAAAGAAGATTCAACAAAACTAGAGTTTAACCCATGAAATGTCTAAACCTACAGTTCGACTTGTCTTGTGTTTTCAACTTGCCTTTTATTCTCATTCGACATCACTTGAACAATTTCTGGCCCCAAGTAATATCGTAATAGTAAAATTGAAACATGAAATAAATTATAACGGAACTGAGCTTCAAAATCATGCAATGTAACAATCAATGCATTACAAGAAAATAGATGACAAATTCTATGGTGACTCACATCCAATAACGTTAATCGAATTTAGTTCAACACACTAAAGGGTTGGAAGAAACCAAAAGAGAAATAAATAAGCCATGATGCCCTTCTTCCCCTTAGTTTCCCCTCTGCTTGTTTGTGACAGCATTACAACTACAGAAAAGCATCTTTCTCAAGTAGCTTCAGGACATCATTTTGATTATTTAACTTCGCAACATCTATAGGAGTTTTCCCGTCCATATTCTGCAGAGTACTGCAAATTCAACAAGAAAGGAGAACAATTAATCATTGAAACAAGGTATTTTGTAAGCATTAACGTTTTTTCAATAAGCAAAATGGAAAAGACTACTACTTACACTGCAGCACCGTTTTCAAGCAGAAGGGCCACACATTCCTTCCTGCCATAACCGGCTGCGTAATGGAGAGCAGTGTTCTTATTCTTGTCCAAAGCATCCACTTTTGCTCCAGCCTCAAGGAGAACTTGAGCACACTTCACCTGAAAGGATATCAAGAACGTGTCAACCATAAAGGAATCAAATCTCAGATTTTTCTATGGCCTAAATAACACCCTGAGTCTCAATACATCCTTTATATCCCTCCCATCATGGGTCTAATGAGACCACCCAATATCATAAGCAGAAATTATGAGAAACAAAAAGGCATGATATAAAAGATGAGAAAATATTTACTACAAATACTAGCATACCTCGCCATATCCACAGGCAAAATGCAAGGCAGTTCTTCCCTCAGAATCTTCTTCATCCTTGTCAGCACCAGAAGCTAGTGCAGTTTTCAAGCCCTAAAGATATGTTTAAAATTTTAGCTCTCAAATATTTCAAAATCACAAATACAACTAGATAGCTTAGCGGCCTAAACAACCCTTAATAAATGAATGTTTTGAATTCCATTCAATCTTCCATTCCCCAAAAGTTAACAATAGAAAAGCACATAACCCTTGTATAAGAGCATACAAAACCTGTCCATGAAACTGCCACAATAAATGGCTAATTTACATAAATTTAGAAAAGAAATTGTGCATTACTTATTCAAGTTTTAAAAAGACTTCGATCCACCTTTTCTCTAAATGATTTCACCAGTTCCAATTTATATTGTATTAACTCAAAACCTTATGATAAGAATTTTTAAATTGATAAAAGAAGAAATTCCCAAGTAGAAAGATTTCAGAAGAAAGTGGAAACAAAATAACAGCAATAAAGAAATCACATCAAGAGCTAAAAGCTACCTAATATTTATACATTTATTAAAAGACTGAGATTTGCACCAAATCAACTAATCAAATTCAAAATTTACATTCCTACCAACTGCATCGACCAATTACTAGCATAGATTGCATGTAGCAACTTGCGTGAGAAATAGCATCTTTACTTTCTACCCAAAGAACTCAACCTAATCAACAACAAATCAACCTAAAGTCCTGGGCAACCCTAGTCCTTTAGCACAAAAAGGCTAGATATCCTACTCCATAAAGACATTGAATTAAAATAATATCAAAATAGAAGAGGATATAATTCTAAATAACAATAAAACCTAATGCACAATTCCAGAAAAAGACGCTTGTGTGACTGGCAAACTTGTGAGAAGTGATGAAGAATATTACCAAGCTCGGCTCTCCAAAAAAATGAAGTTAGGGGCCTCTTAGTCTCAACTTCCAAGGGAGTTTATTTGTCCTTTATTGTATCATTAGAATAACTTCAACTT